GAAGAACCAGCTGTCTGATTTGTTTTTATGGGTAGTTTTACAGGCAGTCTTGCAACAGTGCCGATCGGTGTGTGCCAGCTCTTCCCTCCAGAATGACCAAAACTGGGGAGCTTCAAGTGAGTCAAACACACCTGCTGTCCCCAGGACACAGAGGGGGAAGTCTGTGCTGGTGTGCCCCTGCGTTTTGGGGCTGGAGGGTGTTTGCTCCTGAGCAGTTCGATGCTGACATGCTCTTTAAATATTTCTGTTTGCAGATTTGTGGAGGACAAGGGGAATAACAAACATGGTTTGCATTTTTGGCAGCAGTTTTAATAAGCTGAAATGACTTTACCTTGAGTAAGTCTTGGGCATGTGTACATGTGTGAGAGTGTTCACACGTGTGTGTGCCTGGTGTCACGGACAGGACCTGGGGACCAGTTCCCTAAGCCCAGTTCTGTCACATTATACACCTCCTCTGGAGTCCCTGCCCTAACCAGGTTCTGGCATGATCCAGGAAAGGATAGCAGAGTTTTAACAGGGGCTTTAGTAACACCATCATCTGGGCACACAATCCCCTGTCATCTGATGTGGTTGTAGCTGCAGAGCCCTCTTGCTCTGGAGAGCTGCCTGTGTGGGGCTCTGCACCCACCTCTCTCTGAAGATGAATGTTCCCTGATCCCCAGCGCTGAGCATTGTTCGTGGCTGTTCTGTAGCCAATAGGCCCCTGCTCCCTGATTATTTTTTTTTTTTACTTCTTTCATGTCTAAGTTTGGGAGCCCTGTTCTGCACGTGAATTTCCATCTTTATTTCCACTCAAACCATATGGGGCAATGCTGTACCCTTTCCCTTTTCCTTTTCCCTTCTATCCCCACTGCCTGCATCTCCAGAGCCAAGTATGAGCCTTTCTTGAAATAGAAGCTTTCAACATGAAATACACTGTTAGCCCCGTTACCAAGAGGGAACAGATTTATCAGATAGATCCCAGCAGGCCTGTACATGTCTGGTATAGTGCAATAAAAATATACATTAGAGTAAGTATAAATACATATTTACAGTGTACAAGTAAAGCCAGGAGTACAGACTCTGTTTTGAGCTTCCAGAATGCATATTAATGACTAACAGCTTAGGCACAGTATAAAACAGGGGCAACTACATTTTAGTTCTTAGGTGAATAACTTTGGATTTACAGCAGTGTAACTGAGGGCAGGGCAGACCTCTTCCCTCCTGGCAATAAATGAATTTTCCACTTGGACCATTTCTTCTTTGCCTGTGATGGCAGCCTTCCTTCATGAGCTTTTGGAGTGAAATGGCTGGTGCCACAGCCTGTTCTCCAGGCTACTTCCCACTGGTGTCATTGTCCAAGGCCATGTGTTCAGGGATGTAGTTATGGAGTGGGCTGTGCACTGCTACAATACTCTGCTTAACTGAAAGCACTTGTCTTTTTAATGTATAATAATACTTGTCCTTCCTGTTAAGAACTCAAGGGACTCTACAAACCTGAGTGAATGACTCCACATCACCAGGAGGGGTGGAGAAATAAAAGCCCAGTGCAGTGACTTGCCAAAGGTTATATAGTGAGAACATAGCAGAGCTTGGAGGGGAACTGGCTCTTTACTTGTTCCAGTGCTTTCCTTCAACCCCTAGACCTGCAAGAAGGAGGAAATAGCACTGCTCTGTTTGTATAATATTTGTAAAAGGTACTTGCATACTATGCCAATGTGTACAGGCTAGGTTGCTTCCTCCTTTAAGAGTGGCTGGAAAGCAGAGCGCTGGCCCTTGACATTGATATCCAAGGGCCATTCCTGACCATGCAGTGACACAGGATTGCCCAGGACAGCCCTAAGTCGATACATCCAGCATGCAGTGAAAAATTGTGGAACATACCAGCCTGGATTCCAAGAGCAGCCAACCTCTCACGCATGGTACTGAGACACGAGGCTTATTAGCTTATGCCTAGTGCTGTGGCATGGCTCCTCCTGGAACTTGCTTGGTTGCCACTAACCCAGGGATCTCTGCAGCATGGTGTGTATGAGGAATGCATTTGGAGACCCCTGCTATTAGCTAGGGATAGGAGCTGTTTTTTCAGTTTTTTCCTCCTACACCAAGCTAAAAATACAACACAGTTAACTTGTCATTTGATCACAGTAAATGCTTTGCTGAAAGAAAATTACTTCAGGTGTCTGTTGCCAGAATTTGACCTGGGCAAGTCTCTGCAGAAGCCCTGTCCAGGTTGAACACAGCTCACTGGATGCAGCCTTATTTGCATGTCCTAGCCTTATCTTCCTAACCATCAAAGCAGAACATGGTTACAGCACTAGCTTGGCACAGATTGCTGCTGCTGCCAGCCCAGGACTTCCCACCTCACTGCTGCTCAGGCTGATGAACTGGATTCTGCACATGGTGTAAATCCAGAGTAATACTGACCTTGGAGGAATTACTCTGGATTTGCACTTAAGCAGGTGATGTCAGATCTGGGTTGGTACCTGCTGTAATTGAAAAGCAAGAGCTCCCATAGGTTTCTTTGCCACCTACTGGGACGTGCAAAGCCCTGGGGTGCCAGAACACCAAAGCTGATGACATGGCTTTGCCAGTCCCCTGGGAAACATAGGATGCCAGATGAGCTTTATGAGGTAGGCAGCCCCACGCTGGATGGAGATGCTGGGGAGAGTCTTCTTCCCTGGAGCATGCACTGTCAGTGGGAGCTCCAGCAAAGACCTGGAGCCATCCCTCACTTGAGACTGTGTTGGGTCTCTCGGTGCCTCCGTAGATCCACCTTGCGCTGGAAGCCCTTGGCACAGAGCTCACAGCTGAAGGGCTTGAAGCCAGTGTGCTTGCGGCTGTGAGTGATGAGGTTGGAGCTCTGGCTGAAGGCTTTGCCACATACCTGGCATTTGTGGGGCTTCTCCCCTGCAGGGCAGAGACAATGGTTATAAACACTTAACAGATGAGAGAAGGGAGGTAGAAATGCCCTTTAGCAGACTCAGACCTGATGGGCTATGCTTTGGCATCAGAGTGGTGCCAGCCCAGCTGTCCTGCTAGTGTGTCTGCACTCTGATCCAGCACCAGAGGGTGAGAAGAACCAGAGGCAGTCCTTTCCAGCTGTGTGACCCATGCCCTGTCTGCATCCAGGGCTGGGTACAACCATGACGTGCACCAGAGGCTGGTCAATAACCACCTCCTTGTCACACAGAGGAGGACGTGCATCTCAGTGATGCTTAGACCTTCTGCTGTCTTACTGCACAGGGAAGAATGACTTCCCTGTGCCTCTGGATGCTTATCCCCAGTCCAATATCTCTGTGTTTGGGGATTATGTATGTATATCAACACGATGGACTCTAATTTGCATTTGCTTATTGGGAATATTTTGTTTCTCACCAGTGTGGATGTAAGTGTGTTTCTTCATATCTGACTTCTGGTGGAAGCGCTTGCCACAGTATTGGCAGGGATAGGGCCGTGTGTCTGAATGGATCAGCAGATGAGTGGAGAGGGTGGAGGAACGTTTGAATGTCTTCCCACACATCTTGCACTCAAAACTTCTTTCCTGTTAGGGAGAGAAAATCATGGGATGTCTGTGGCTTCAAGACAGGTGACAGAGCTTGAAGAGCATTAAGAGTGTTGAGAATAGTAGATTTGATAAGCAAATCTTCTGGCTCCTGGACTGATATGCTAGGTGCAGTACAAAGAGAATGTGGGGAGGGTTACTTATGAAAATGGATTACATCTTGTGATCCAAATTCCCGCACCTTTTAGGAGGAGGCGAACCAGTAGCAATGAACCTTCCCTCCCATCCAAGGAATTCTTAAGGGCAGTCTGAGATTTGTGAGACCAAGATCTATGGTCCTCCAAGCTCCTATCGTTGTCATTGGGTGCTACAGAAAAGCCATCATGTTTGTAACCTAGGAAATGTCACTTCCTTTATAATGGAGTAAGCAACAGCTAAGATCGAAGCACTCGTGAGCTCTGGAGAGCTGGTTCTCTGGAAACATGCTGCCCACCTGGGAGTGAATATTGGTGTGCTGCTCCAGGCTTACAGCGTGTCCAAAGGTTTTGCCACATACTTCACAAGCAAAGGGACGGGTCCCACTATGAGACCTTCGGACATGGACCTCGAGTCCATGGGGAGTGGAGAATACCTGCAAAACAAAATGCCAGTGACTTTTTTTTGACGTGAGGTGGCTATGTCTCCACCTCTGTTTTAACTTCCTTCTCTTTATTTGATTCTTCCCTCTTGGTGGCCATGTGAACTGCATCATTCCTAGCGCCCTTGTCCCCTAGTAAGGAGTACAAGTAGGTAACCCGTTTCGAGCTGCATGCATTGCACTTTGGTGTAACCCAGTGAAACATTGATGTATGCAATGAAAATCACTCTAGGCCATCCCCATCCCTGAGGTTCTGCCACAGTTCTGCCACAAACCTTGTTGCACTTGACGCAGTGGTAGGTCTCCATGTCTGAGGAGTAATGCATGCTGTAATCTAGAGGGGGCTCAGCACTTGGCAGGAGGTGGCTTCCGTACAGGCTGACGGGGTGATCCAATAGGGCTGACTGCATGGTGGAAGACATCTGTCGGTAGCTGTATGGCAAATGGAAAGCATCCCAAGAAAAGCTGGTTTTGTAGAAAGCAGGGGTGCTTGTCGTGTTAGTGCAGTCTTTGATCTGCAGACCTGGGATGGCCATCTCTGCGTTTACAAAAGAGAGGGAGAAGTGAGTGTCATGCCATTGCCTGCAGCTGCGCACCAGTAAAAAAGTTCCCCAGGTACCATTCCCCCATTTAATGACTTGCCCGACCTTGGGAGTTGAGTTGGTAACTCCTCCTTTGATTCAAAGCCTGACCCCCATATAAAGTTCCTATTATGACTTTGATTTCAATCTGAGGAAATCTTACAGGAGAGGAGATGCTAAGGGAATATTAACCCCCCTACTAGCCCTGCTTCATCTGATGTTTGAACAAGTATCATGTGGACACCTCCCTTGACCCATATAGCGCAGAGCTGCATTAGTCCTTGAGACTTGCAGGCTCACTCATTGGGAATCATAGTGTCATCCTTCAGGGAGATGCTAATCTATTCCGGAATCGTAAAGGGAAATACCGAATGCTTTTGATGAGCTCTGCCTGGGACAAGTTTGACCACTGATGTCAAAATAAGAGCTGCCGTTTACTGAAAATCTGGACCCAGTTGTAGGGGCTCCATAAGCCAGCTCAGCCCTGACCTCTTTTGCAATTGTGGTCTTGGGTAGCAGACCTTGAGCTGAAGGGCCTGGCAGCATCCTGCTCAGGTACTGGACAGGGACACTTTCTTCTTTCAGTTCAGAAGGGTTCTTTTCTTGTTTTGGAACCACGCATTCTACGTCCTGTTTCTTGATGTCCTCTGGTGTCTTGTCTCCTATGGCTGTAATCACACAGTAGTGTCACAGTTAGTTTATTCTAGCTGTTAAATGAAGAGTTTATTAAGGTGGGTTTGCTACTTACATATGAACTCATGCTTGGATACGTGAGCCCATGCTCAATTCCCTGAATAAGTGCAGAGTAGTGCAATCAGCATGGCAATCAAGGTCTGTCCATTGCTGACAAAGGGAAATGCCAAGCAGGATGTGATAGGCAAGGTAGAGTGGGGCAGGAAGAAATGATAAGACACTTGATACCCTATATAGTTAGAGAAAATTAACCCTAGAAGGCCACATGTCTGAAAGAATAATTTCCCCGTTTAAAACCATTTTCATTTGTGTGGGTAACTAACAATCACTAACTTATTAACCTCCCCACCCCTCTCCTAAGAGAGTTTGGTATTGTTAACCTGAGTTTATGGGCAGACAAGTAGGGAAGCAGAGAGGGGAGGTAACTGCTTACGCAGTTGCAAAGGTGACCACAGAGCCTCATCTCTTCCTGCCCACACTCCCATTTCTCCATGCTTGTCCCAGTCCTTAAAGAGACCAACCAGCACTTGTTAGAAGTAGACTTTATAGTAAGAATCTAACAAGGACAGAGGTCCAATGCATGTGCCTCCTTCCTGCTGGAGATGGGACTGGGCTGCTGAAGGACAGTATTCATCTGTTGTCCAAACCCTCTTGTGTGCCGGAGAAAGACACAACAAATGGCCAAAGGATGATGGCAGGAACTGAAATTAAAATGTCACCTCCTTTCTCTTTTATCAAAATTATGATAGGGCTGGACTCTAATTTGACAGCCAGGGCTAGAACAAAGGGTAAGTTGATCCTAAATTTGAATAAAAAAAATTTGAATGGTGCCTGAAGGAAGAAGATAATTGCCCTGGCCCTGCCACTGCCTGGATGGCTGTGGGAGAGCAAGAACAGCAGCAGAGGGAGGACAGCAGGCAAAGGTGGCAGCAGCGTTGGTTGGTGTTAATAGAGTATATAGCAGTTGGCCCTTCACCTGTGAGTGTGTAGGACTCCTTTCACAGTCAGCGTTAGGGTATCACTAGTATTTTCTCACTCTAGCTGTAACCTTCCTTGCAAATCATCAGGAGGAGGTGGTAACACACTGAGGTAGAGAAGATGTAGGTCCAGAGAGAATGTGGGCAGTGAACACAGCAAGCTGGAGATCGACGTGGCAGAGTTGTCAGTTTATAGAAGACTGACAACCAAGTGCAAGCTCTTTTCCCCACTGTTATTTGCTTGAAGTTGGCCGTCTTTCCTAAACACAACCAACTCCACACAGCAATCTTATACCTCAAATCTCCCCAGCAACCCAGCAGGAAACGAGATCTAAATTTGGGTTCCGTGGGACAGTGTGGATTTGGTCTAGAGAAAGAGGGCACACAGCAGGGGATCAGTTTGTCCTTAGACTGACATCCCCGTGTGGAAGCCCTTAGTTGCTATTTAGCTCATTCGTCCTACTCCCTTACCTTGCCTAATCAATTATTGATTTGCCTCGGTGTATTCTTACAAGGCCAGTGGACAGATTGACTCACCAGTGAAGGGAGAGGTTATTGGATCCCACGTGAGTATAGGCAGGTCATCTTCCACAAAGCGGTGTTGATGATAGGTATGAGCCTTTTTGCTCTTCACCAAAAAGGAACGTGGCATTTTCCATTCACTGCCTGGGCAGAAACACAGAAAAACGGCAAGTAAATCTCTGATTTGGCAGGTAATTTCTCATTGTTGCCCCAGCACATCAGCTCTGTATGCAGCAGTGATGAGAATGAAAACTCTTCCACTAGGGAGACAGAGTTTATCTCAAAGGTCCCTCCACCCAGCTGAAGAGCAGAGAATTGTTGCGTGGCTTTAGGTGTGTGATGAATCTCAACTCTGGGGAAAACACGTAGCTGTAGAGGGGGCTAAGTGAAAAAACTTACGGCAAGATAGTCTTTGCCACTGAACGTAGAGATGGGATTGCAGGTTACAGTATACTCCGTAAAAATTGCACTTCACAATCTACCCCTCGGTTGAGGCAAAGGACTACTGCTATCATTATATTGTAGGTGGAGAAACAGAGGCATGCTTAAACTGAGCGCCGTGTTACAGACCAAAACTGCATCTGTGGCAAAGATACTTTAGAAGCCAGGATCTCTTTCTTGTGGCTCTCTGCTCTGGCTGCAGGACACAGTGCATCTCTGACCTTACCCTCCCTGAGAGGACACAGTGAGGACTGTGGGTTGGAGATCGCCCCTTTGAGAAAGGGTCTCTCTTAGTGTTTGTACCATGCCTGGAAGAGCGCGGTCCCAAGCCGTGACATGGGCTCCTCTGTGAAATTGCTACACAAATAATAATAGAAATAACATCAATAATAGGAGAGACACAGCGGAAAATTCCCGCAGCTATGATGTGTGGTGGGTTTCCTTCTTGTTGGCCGTAGCTTGAGTATTTTGTATTTCGGCTGACAAACAACAGGCAAGCAGAGGCAGAGCAGAAGTGGTGGGTGAGAGAGGTTACCTTTTGGATCTGACTCAGATATCACAGACTGTTGAAATGACGGGTTAGGAACAAACATAAAATGCTGAATTTAATCATACCAAATTCTCTTGCAATGCATCTGTTATCTTTACTACCCAGAACCCAGCCCGCCCTGTGCCTGCTCCCCATGGCTAGTAACTGTTCTCATGTAGGCACTATGACAACAGGCTCGATGCTGTGTATGGCAATATCAGCTGGCGCCTTATTTGCATACATATTTGCATTTTCCCTTGTAGTTGTTCAGGATAGTAGCACCAAAAGCAAACCCTGCTATATTTCATATGAAAAATCAGCAGTAATTCTGGCCTGGCTCTCTGTTGATGGGAAAGTACATTATTAAGTTTTGTTTTTTCCTGAGAGCAGTTGAAGTCTAGCCTACTTATCTACTAAAAAAAAAAAAAACCAAAAAAACACCAAACAAGTTTGCTCCTGCTAAGTAGGAATGACCTGAAACGTCTGTGTAAGGACAGAGCACTGTGGGTTCCTGGAATCCCAAAGAGCCAAGGATGGAAAAGGTCTTCTCCCTAGGATTCAGAAGTGCCCGCACTACCCTGACATGCCAAATATAATTACATAGCCCAGTGGTGTTTAGTTTAAAGGTCCAAGGGCCACGTTTATAGTGGTGCCTACGGTTGCAGGTACATGTGCTGTGGAATTCACCCAGCGAGGTCTGCTGTGGGCGGGTGGACTGCCAAGCCCACTGTTGTCGGTGGGAGTGAGGTGCTCCCCAGCCCAGCTGCCTTTGGAAATGCAATTATAGCTATCTTTTTAAATCTGGTCCAGGATTCCCACTGTTTCTTCTATGACTTCAGTGATAACTCTTGGTGTCTTTAGCCATTTTTTCTTCTGAAATGACTCACCTGTTTTTCTTCATCTTTTTCCAAGAAATTTGCATGTCACTTGAGATGAATAAGAGAAAAGAGAGGCCAAGAGTAGATTTCTTAATTTTAGAAAGAGGACAAAACAGTACAGAGAATGAACCATAAGTACGCTCTTGAGGGAAGGGACGCTGAAGTACTTTGCTGTATTTGCTTTCCTGTAACTGTCTAATGAGGTTCCCTCTAAGTACTGTAAAGTGTACCTCTGGCGAATGGTTGCAGGCACAGAAATACCTCCAGGCTGGTACAAACACAGGAGTGTTCTGCAATGGGTATAACCCTTTTAGCAGCATGCTCTGCTTAGCCTGTGCACCTCGCATCCCAGCAGAAGTGCTTAGCTCGGAGGGTCTCGCTGCTCTTGGTCAGTCCCAGGTGGGGTACCTGCGCATGGAGATGCACTCTGCTATACAGACGTGCCCCAAGTTAAAAGTCCTGCCACAAACCCTTTATACATGGAATTTCCACTCGTGTCAAAGGGATTTTCCCGTGGTGGGGCAGGACTGTGTCCACAATGGAGGGTATTCATACCAGCAAGCTTTAGACATCAGATTTCTCTGCCTGAATTAACCAGTTAATTTCCCTGGGCTTCCTACACGGTGGAGGGAGAGGCTCCGGCAGCAGGTAACTGGGAATGCAGGGTGAAAGCCTGCACCCAGCAGTGCCTGCTGGAAGGGTCTCTCTCCCTGCCCACTGGCGAGAGGACCCTATGCCGTTAGCCAGACGGCTTAGCCAGGTAAATTAGAGGACTGGAGATGGGTGGCATAAGCAATCTTGCCGTTTGCAGTGTTTCATGGTAGTACCCATACGCTAAGTACACGAAGGCACTAAGTACAGCCCCTCTTTTCTGATGGCGGTTGAAAGTGGATGCACATGAATCAATGGGATTTTTCTGGATGTGTTTGCCCCAGCATATGTAAAAGCCAAATTTGGTCCAGTATCTTGACTGCTGATAAGGGCCTCGACTGAGCACAACGACCTTTAAGGCACTACTGAACGTTACGAAAGGAAGCTACCTTCCCCCACCCCATTTGACAGAGAAAAGAGGAACTGGGAGCCCAAAGCGTAGTTAATTACAACTGCATTGGACTGTCTTTGTGATTCACACAACCGGGTTAGAGGAAAGCTAGAAGCACAGATTGTGAGAGAAAAAATACTACCTCTCCTTGAAACCCAAGATTATCAGTAGCAAGTGATCAGCTCCTACTACTGGCTAACTATATTTCACAGGGAAAGTAGTGCTACGGACAACAGACCCTGCTACATATTAAAGTCACTGTAGCTTCCGACAGAAGTTAAATTCAACCTTTTGGTAAAAATTAAACTTTATTTTTATGGACTCTGTTCTTGCCAGCCCCTGTGGCAGCAGTTTCTACCTTGACTGGCAAGTGCACAAGGGAGTTCATCACTTGGGCAGGAGCACCTAGCCAAAATGGAAGTGTTGTGGCATTTTTTTTTTAATTCAATACAGGATATAACATCGGTAGCCAGCTAGAATTCAAATTTCTATTTGTTTGCCATTCATGTAGCTGTACAATAATGTTGTAGTAATCTGCCCTGAGGAAATGTTCCTTCATCCTCAGTGATGCTCTCTGGTGATTTTTGCAGAGTATCACATGTAAAAATGTAATGTAATACTGGAATACTGGAGATTGTGCAAGAACCAAACTAAAAGGGGCGCTTTTTTTTTGGGGGGGGGGTGGACGGGGCACGGTTCTGACTTCAGGATCCTAATTTTGTTTGATCTTATGTTCCTCATGAAGCCCTAACTCCCACTTCACTGCATGGCAGCTCACAGTACCCAAAAATACAGGATGGGGCCCTTTGATCTAATTTAGAAGAAATTCATATTCTCACTGAGTTAGATTACGGAGCTGTTCTCTCCGGCTCCTTCAGTGAGACGATTCATAACACGAAACACTGTATTTGGGAACAGGTGTTGGCAGGATTGTGCCACACTGAATCAGGAACGCAATTTGCAGCGTAAGTTCTATTCTAAAGCTGACACCTCTAAATTCAAGTAATCCTGTTTTCAAATTTACAAAGTGAGTTGTAGAGATGAAACCCTTTTCCCACTACACTCAGCAGAAATACTTCATTTTAACTTGCAATGATATATGTCTTCATACAATTTGATGAGTGTACAAAGTTTTAGGCTAAAAGAGGCTTATTTCCTTCCCATTGCTTAATTTATTAAAAATCTTAATATTGTTTTTTTCTGTTCTTTCTGGCAAAGGTGAAGCTTCCAAAAATAAAGAATAGTTTGTCTTTCAGAAGACTACATTTTTGAAGAAAAAAGCACAAAACGGAACACGACCTGTGTCTGAAATTTTTAAGAGGCCAAATAAAATAAGAGGCTTTATGGACTCCTGACCCTTTAAATATAAAGTCATACTCAAAAAGAATTTCGGTTCTTTACAACAAAATTAACCATGTCTTCACTGGTCCACCCTTGCAAAATGGATAGTACTTGGGACAAGTTAATTTGAATGTGACATTTTTAGTGGAAATATGAGCAGAACATTTTTAATCCCTGTGGTAAGACTGGGCAAATGGGCGCTATGGCAGGGGTAGCAAATTATGGTGGAAATTTTGCCCAAGAAGTGGAATGGAAATGCTTGTACGTCTATTGTATCTACAAAAAAATGTTTAAAATATAATTGCAGCATTTGTTCTTTAGCAACCTCGCTTAGCTCCCAGTGATGTCGGGAATGCCACTGGCTTTAGCAAACTTTGCCTTAGACTTTCATGGATAAATAGACCTATATAGTGCAATCTAACAAATTCTATATCCCCTTAACGTATAGATGCATTCACTGTGTGAACTTGCAAATCATGTGCTTTCCTACTTAATGTACTGAATCAATCTGGTGATAGATGAGAAGCATCTATAAATAGCTAATTCCATATGCTAAAAGTTGTTACAATAATCAGCCTATACTTAGAAAGGATGGAAAAATAATAAAATAAAAGATAGATTTGAAGCAAAAATCCTAAACAGGAGAGACTGAATTCTCAGCTAGCAAAATGGGCACAGATTAATCGATGTCAGCAGAGGTGTGCTGCTTTCTGAATTTAAAGGTCTGGCCCCGTAAAAGAGCAATTAAAAGGAAAAATATAGCATGTCCTCTCCTCAATGCTCAAGTACAAAAGTCTACATCTAGAAAAAATCCTGCTTCATAGAGCTTGCTGGGATGCAGGTATCTGAGACCATTGTCACATCATTTATATTTTGTTCTACTATTATCATTTTCCCATGTGAGAATGAAGTAAGCATATGGTATATAATTTTAAAAGGTTTGACTTATTTGAATTAAGTGAACCATTATCATAAAGAAATCCTCAGGACAAGTGACTTACACAGTGGAATATGTTACATATTTGCAAACACACGCAAAGGAGAAGAAAAAGCTTAGAAAAATATCAGAGAAATGAGAAAAACAATGAAATTAAAAGTGTTTAAAAGAATAAATCAATCACCTGTTTGGGGGACTTTGCTTTACTGGATTCGCCTTGAAATCTCCCCAGACAAGCGAGACGTTGTCTTCTCTCTGGACTCCTCTTCCACTTTTTCACTTAGTCGCAGTCTGCTGAAATAGATACTTCTCCTTTTTTCTCTCTCTGTTTTTTTGCCCCTGTTCCCCTCCCTGATTTTTCAATCAGATTATTTGTGTCAAAATCTGGCGGTGAAGAAACAGCCAATAGAGAAGCACGGCCCAGAAAGTATTTGCTTATCAAAACTTTCCAGGACTTTGAAAACTTGAAGAGAATTCACGATGCCCAGCTCGAAACCCTAGGGGCAGCACCCTTCACTTTCTGGGGCAGCTTCGCCTTCTGCAGGAGTACTCCTCTGTCATATTGACAAAGAGCATGACACGGTGAAACCAAGCAGACATTTGTTATTTTGCCTTTTCTTTAAAAAAAAAAAAAAAAAAGAAATAATAGCTCTTAAGAAACCTGTATTTTTACACACATTCATCCACGCATCATATCTTTCACAAACAGACCTACCATCTGTCTCACATACACACACTCACATACTTCAGTCTCATAAACAAAACCATCTAGCACATATGCACAAAATTATTTTACTCCGGAATGAATCTTTTATCTCTCCAATTTCCAAGGAAAAAGGAATAAATACTTGCACAGTAATAACTGAAAAAGATGTGTGTTAATCAGCCTTCATTTTCCTAGGCATATGTGTGTGCAATCCATACATATTTTAGGCATTGGTCTATCTATATACAGCTGTATATAGGATATAAATATAGATTTAAGAAAGCTCATTAAGCCAGCTCATTAACAACCATCTTTGCAAAAAGCTCTTCAAGAGCAATAATAAGAATTTGCACTTCTATCACTTGCTTTCAAAAAAGGTTTGAAAATGGGTTTGCAAATGTGAAATAATTGACTGCCAACCCCCCCTGTATCGGCAGGGTGGAAGGGGGGAGAATGAAGCAGAGTGACTTTGCTCAGATCACCTGGTCGTTCTCTAGCAGAGGCGGGAACAGGAGCTGGAGAGCAGTGATTTTCTTTTCAGAATCCTTGGGCATGACTCTTATTTGGGGACAAACAAGGAGAGCTGATCTCCTTCACTGCTTGGCAGGATTGGGGAGGAAGTAATTCCTTGATTTCACCTACTCTCTGATTATCACAGTCTTCCTGACTGTGGAAGTGCGCAGTGGCATGAGCTCTACGTGCCCTCGGTTATCCCCTCCTGCACTTACAGCACACTCTGTGCATGGCTGGAACTGGGACAGCATCGATGCTTTCCAAGAAGTTCAGAATGTACATGCAGCTGTTGAGTGCTAAGTACCAGGACATCACCATCAGAGAAATGCCTTTATAGCATGGAGTTTTTCTGCTCCCTGTGAGCTTTCAAATGCATTTCACTCTTTTCTACCATCTGTTGCATTAAACCAGGACTCAGTTGGGAACCTTTTCCTACTGCAGCTCAGGGTGGTGAATGCACCAGGACGCAATAACCTTTCTTCTGCCCTGCAACAGGGTCGGCGGTAGGCTGGTGATTCCCCGGAGGAGCAGATCTGTTCCAGAGACACTTCAGATTCATAGCGGAGGTATTCTGCATCCCGCCGTGGCAGGCAGTGGTGCCAAGCGTGCTGGCCCTAGCATTCTCTGCCAGGACAGCCACAAGTCACAGCTCTTGTCATCGCGCCCTGTCACTGCCCCGTAGCACCGGACAGGCTGTGCAATGGGTTTTGATGCAACTCGGAGATAGGAGTGTAGATTTCACCCACATTGAGAAAGATTCAGATTTTGATCTTAACCCATCTGTCATTTACGGAACATAATTAATTCTTGTTGTTTATAGAAGCAAACAATCCCTTTTCCCTCTCCCTCCTCCCCTCCTTATTTGTCTAGCTGGGTTTTGCATGAAAGAAACGTTCCCAAGGCATTGTGCTAGCAAGCTGATTTGCATCCTCTTAAACACAGGCATTTGAAGGATTACATTTCCCGCTACAAAAACAAGCATTGTAACAGAAAACCAAAATGTATATTGCAGCTTCAGGGTTTCACATGAAGACAGTTACAGGAATTAAACAAAACAGGAAAATGACAAGCTGCTGAAAGGACTGAGATGTTATTTTATGAAACATTGGAGCAGGCTTCTGCCAGCACCCCTGAGCACAGACTTCCCGTTGACACAAAGCACAAATGGCTGCAGAATGTGGCTCTTAAACTAGAAACAGTAAAAGCAAATCAGCCACAAAAAAAACCCCAACAACAAACCTAGTTGTGCAAAAAATCTATTAGCATGTTCAGTAAAACCTCACAGGCTAGCTGGTTTCAGAGGTGCTCCAAAGAGCACTGCGCACAGGCCTTTGGAGAAGGAGGAAGACTACATCTCCTACTGTCAGTAACCTATGTGTAGAGCAGCTGCAAACAAAACATCTGTATCAGCTGTTCTGCTTCGCCAAGTAGCCATCATCTCGCAAAGCCCAGATATAATTGCATACAAACTGATCCCTGAGATAATGGGCACAGATACTCTCTTTTATATATATTACTATGATCACCACCCTAGAATGCCTGGAAAGAGATGGGGACACTGCTGTGTCTGGTTCAGCCCTCATCCACCCCTTCTCCCTTTCTTTTATTCAGGAGTTCCTACAGAGCAAACAGTTGCAGGATGGGAGTGCAGTCAGCTATTGCCTTTGCTGCATTCTTACGCTTGTTGCATTCTTACTCTTCCCTAGATTTCTGTTTATGGCTTCTGTTAAACTTATCCCCTCTCCTCTCCATTGAAATCACTATCAAAAGGCTATTTATACAAGCTGAATTAAAAAAACAGGGTGCTGGCGATGCATTTTGGGCTAGAAAGACCTTTGAGCTGACCCCGTGTGGTCATTCTTATTTTATGTTCTTCCTGTTGATATAATTTTCCCTGTTCTCTCTTGTTCTTTCAGGGTCAGCAAAGAACGGAGAGCCGCAGAGGGCTGATCTGGGCTCGCATAGGCTTGTCCTGGCTCTGACCCACACGGGCCATGGTGGATGTACAGCAACTTCTGCTTGCATCCGAGGACTATTTAATTTTGTGTATTGCCGAGAGTTCTTACTACATGTCATACGCTCCAGTGCATCCTAAGTAGACAGATTATTAAACATGTAACTCAGTAATAATAAACAGGTTAATTATAACACATCATGTCCATTCTAACGCAGTCGTTTTCCCTTTCAAATCTAGCAGCAAACCCCTCCTGTAGCATCCATGTTTTTTTTGTCAATTTGAATGTTACAGCAATTAAGTCACAGTAAAATAACACAACTAATTGCTTCCAGCTCTTTTCTGAAGCTCATCCTAATTTCCACTCTTTTCTGCGGCAGATTAAATAAACACGTCTTCTGCACAGCAGGAAAAAAATATCATCACTCAGTCCAGACTGTAATAAATATTAATCGCCATGCACGAGGCAGGACTAGATTAAAAACAAGCTGGCTCCAAGCAACTCCCTCTCGTCCAGAAGCAGGATGACCTATTGCAGGTGCAGCATGAAGGAACTATCTTGGCCCTGCAGGGATGAGAGCTGTGAAACACCACAACTAATGCCGCAGAAGTTAAAAATCAACCAATACTTCTCAGATGGGGTTCTAATCTGCTTTTATTTTCTTACACCTAGTTTCTACCTTGCAAATTTAACGTCCATGATTCCTACTGGCATCTGAGGACAGCTCATACAGATTGAAGAGTTAGACCAGCAGCTTGCCAAGCATCCTCGGCGCATCCCCACCGAGCCAGCCCTCCTTGGGAGAATGAGAAATGCTGAGACCCCATCGGTCTGGGGATTGAAACATCCCACTGAAAAACGGTAGGGTGTGGCATACCAACCCAAGGCCGGAGAACCTCCCCTGAGGTAATTCCCATTCTGCTTTCCTACTCGGCATTTTCCACGGGGAAAAATAATCTTTATCTAGAAGGATGGATGAAATGTTTCACTGCTGCATTTCTGCAAGAAAAATCCTTGTCCATAGTTTGGATGAAGTGTCCAGGGGCCCAAAAAAGAAAGAATGAAATGAACTTTGCATATTCATCAAGTCGAAAGCAATCCAATTCAGGGTGCCTGGCCCTGGAGTTTCTTCCTAGACTTCTGCAGCACGGTACACAAGGCTGTCTCATTAACATTACTCCACACACACACACACACACACACAAGGACTTCTGAGACCTTTTTATTCCCTTTCCGTACATTACAAACGATTTCAGGCAGGAGTCTGGAACCAGGTTCACAGCGCGGCTCAC